TATTAATCGTAATTTATTTTACAACTTCAAAAACTAATAATTAATATGTAACAAATAATTTGATGTTTTAATAGAAATAATGAAATAAAATATTTTTATATTTAAAATAAAAATTTAATTTTACCTTATCCCACATCGAATGTTAATAGAAAACTAGAAGAAAATTTCTCTTTTAAAAAAGAATATCATGATAGTAAAAGTCACTATTGGGTTTGCTAGTAAAAATATGTGGGCCTCAAATTAGTTCAAACTTTTTTTAAAAACATTGATTTTTTTTCTAATTTTTATTAATTTAGGATCGGATTATCTGATCGGATATCCGATAATATAGCAAATCAGATATGGATTTAATAATCAAATATTCGTTGGATTATCGGATCGGATAATTTTCTTATTGGATCGGATCAGATATACGCAGATCTAATCCATATCCGATCCATTTACAACCCTAAATGGGAGCTGATGCTCTGGTGTTCAATCCGACAAACAGCGCAACCTTGTCGAGCATGTGCAAGCTACACGTGGTATAAGTTAAATGATATTGCAAATAAATGAGATCTTTACAAACATAAAAGCTATCATAAGTTAGGTCGAAGAAATTGGCCACATTAATAAGTCATCAACATGTTATTACAATCTAAAATAAACACAACTTATAACTGCAAATCAGTACAAACATTATGTTTTTTTAATTACTAAATACACGTGCTTATTGATGTTTATTGATAGGAGTGAATAATAATTTTATTGAAGAACCATCTAGTTGACAGTCCATTCAATTACCAGCTGCTTGATACGTCATTCCAGAATTTGGAGTATGAGCGTGAGCGGAAGGACCTGCAATAATAGTAGCCTGCTTAATGGAATTGGTGGCACCTGACATCCAACCTGGTATAGCACTTTGAGGGGGTGACATCAGTGGTTGGAATGGATGCAATGGTTGCAGGAAGAGTCATTTTAAAATATAATTCTCATATATATAAAACATTATATAGAAAACATCACCCTATGTGAAATGAAAATGTTATAAAAAATGAAGTCATATCAATTTAACGAATAAATATATTTATTTACCAATATAAGTTGTGAATATGGCAAGGGTGTGGGTATGGAATATACTGATTTCGGGGCTGTCTGAACGACATGTGTATCTTGTCCAAGATTGGTTTTTCTCGATCTCGATCTCGATCCTTTACTGGAACTTGATGTAGTCTGCACGATATTAGAATCATTTATATTTTCTATTTGTTTAGATAAATGACTGCAATAAAAAAAAACATATAATACCTTCGATTTCTTAGAATGTAACTCCAATGGGCTTTTGTTACGAAATTTCTTTGGCGTACCCTTCCTTTTTGAGCATTGACGATCTTGTACAATTCATT